CATTTGTGGTCAAAACTATTGTCGCGATTAAAACACATAACTATAAGTAAACTCAACGATAATATAAAACTGTTGGAAGCGATCAAAAGATCTTCACTCGAATCCTTGTATTATTGCAATTATGGCAACGAATCGTTTGATTGCAGACAAGTATTCAATTGTTTGCCACAATCTATCACTGATTTTAAGTTAATCGGCAATCAATTCCCTAATCTATCTCTGGATGTCTTAATCGAGAGATGTCCTCAACTCAAACAATTCAAGTTATATGCTTTTGACGACAATAGCCAACAATGGGATCACAATTTTGCCACTATTTGTAACAATTTTGAGTCAATGAAAATGTTATACTTTGCTATTAAATATCTATCATTTAATGTTTTCGCCGAAAACATTTGCAAATTGACAAAATTACACCACCTTGGTATTTATTCCAATATTAATTTCAATACTAATCTAATGGAAACAATGAATTCTTTACATTATATTGAATTAATGTTTATTAAATGTTCGCCAATTATGTGGAAAATGTTTGCAAAAGTATTCCCAAATATAAGGCATATATTATTGCATAATATATTAATCAATTGCGAGTGCAATGAAATCAAAGCAATCAATGAATGCAAACAATGTGTTCATAAATGTATGAAATGTTTGACAAAATTACCAAAACTCAAGAAATTAATGATTAGAGATATAGCCGTCACTCACGAAGATCTCAATCTATTCGTCACAATAAATGTCTTAAAATTATTGAATTACGAGAATATCAATGAATTGGTATTGTTTTGCAATCATTGTATTGAAAGAAGGAATTTACTCAACAAATTCATACTTATTTTAGACGAAGAAATAAAAGATAATCTATTGATACGATTGAATGAAATGAATGTTTTGGTTCCCAAATATTTTATAATTTTGTGATAACATTAAATTGTGCCAAACATTGGATATTATAAATCTTAATAAATTAAAGCCTAATTATAAAATAGCAAATTGTGTCAAATTAACCGTTTTTAAAATTTATAACAAATATTAATATTGAAGTATTAACTTTTATTATAATAATTGCATAAAACAAGCGTTTAATTTAATTTCAATAAATTATTTATATATAAAAAATGTTTTAAATTATTACAGCATTTGTTTCTAAAGAAAATGTTATGCCTTTTGAAAGCCACACAAATCTAATGTCTCGATATCCATATTTTCAATACCAACACAGATTAAAGCGATGGCTATACCGGTGATAACGGATCCAATAGTTGCAGAAATCAACCACTTTTCGCTGTCATACTTTTGAGACGATGTGACGATCAGTAGAGTTAGACATAAGATGACAATAAGTGAATAAAAAACTTTATTAACAATCTTTTGATGTTTGTGTTTGAGAGTCGATATGAACGCCCACTCGAGCAGTGATTTACCGGCGATGACCGCAATCGTTGAGATCAATGTCGAGATTACAATTTGAAAGCCAATCGAGTTTTGAAAAGGCGATTGTCTTGAATAGTAGACATTGGAAGCGATGCCTAAGTAGAGAAAAGTCAAGATTTCAAACGCCAGCGTCTCGTAGAATGACTGAAAGGCGTGATTCCTGTGAGACATCGGGAACTGTTGAACAGTGGACGACGTAATCGGTTTGATTGTCTTGACTTCTCCGCTGACGTGAGTCTTACGGACAGAATGTGTCTCCAAGTCTGCGATCACTATATGTCTGACCAGAATATGCGCCTCTTGTTTGTCGTCTGGATTCGTGTCAAACAATTCGAGTTTCAGTTTGTATTTCTTGGGCAACAGTTCGCGACGGAAGAGACGAAACGTGAGACTCTTCAACACTCTGTCGTCCGAGTGTTTGGACGAGAACTGAGCGTTCAATTGGTTCGTATAGATGAGCGTCTGTCCTATGAATCGGTTCTTTTCGTTGAGGAATGTTATCTTCAAACCGCTGTCCCTTGAGTTCAGGTTCGACGACGGCTTACAATATCTTATAGTCAGCGAATACAGGGCTTTGCCGTCCGCTTCGGTACAGTTGTCAAAGAGTGTCAATTCAATGGACGGCTCGCTGTACTCGTGTTGAAGATATACAAATACGATGGACAACAAGTAGGCCAAAGAGATCACAATTGTGGTGTAGATACTAAGCATATCAACTGAATCATCAATACTCTTCATCTTCTCATATGATGGTTATCTTAAGCAATGAATTGTTAACACAAAGTTTGCGTTAGACTATGAGATGACAGTTAATGCCTATAAATGTAATTCAAAATTGTGTGCATTTGTTTGAATCAATTTAAATTTAAGTGCATTTTTATTGTTTGCGCGACTTATTTATCGAGATTGATTTTATTTGTTGACTAATTATAGTTTTACTGTTGATTTGATGTTAAATTATGTAAAATTATAACTTAAAAGTTAATACTAAAGTATATTTTAATCACTCTATGATCTAATGGTAAATTTTTAATGAAAAATAATAAAATAACTTTAAGGGAAAAAATAATCTACAAATAGTAAAGTAATAAATTGTTTTCAACACAAATACTTGTCTTTAGATTAAAGATTGACTGCATTTACATTTATTTAAAATAATTAAACATTTAAAATATTAATAGATATGTATTACTGGTTTAGTATTCGCTGATTTATAATTGATAAGCATTTCAAATTGAAATTGAAATTTTCAATACTCATTGCAATCTAATATCTAATGTTTCAGTCAATCATTTGTCGCCTTATATGACATGTCATTAGAAATACATTTTATTTTTTAAACTGCATTTCATATGAACAGCAATTTTGTAAGTATTTGTCACAAAATAGTTGTATTGAAAACACATTTAAGTTGTATTTAATATTAATCATAAGATTATGTGTTTTATGTCATGCCTTCAAAAAGAAGACAACATTTTGAAAACAATGGAAACCAATGAAGACTTTGAAGACAAAGAAGTGATGGCATCGAAGAGTGATTTCGTTATGAACGACGATATCTTGTGTCTAATATTAGATCACTTGACGATTAGATCATTGTTAAGATTAGAGACGGTTTGCCAACAATTTGTCGATTGCGTGGGAACTGCTCTCAAGAAGAAGACATCTCTGAGTATCGGAAGGTATACTTATCATCACGAATATAAGGGCTGTTACGCTATGGTCGACGACATCACTGACGCCATTGTGAACGACGACAACATCCAAGAGGTGACGGCAAACGGCGAACCCATTTGGGAACTAATGGGACACAAGAAAACGTTGGATTCAATACTGAATAGATGTCCAAACATCAGGAATTTGTATTTGAAAGACGCGGCGTTTGACGGCACGACTGTTGAGATGATTGCCAATCGATGTCCAAAATTGAGACATTTATTCCTGAAGACAGTGAAGATTCACATCACAACCAAAGACGAAGTGATACTATTGTGGAAATGGTTGAGCAGATTGTCGTATCTGTGGTTATCACTGAAAGCGAGTAATACTTATTTATATGATAAGCTGTTTAAAGTAATCCGCAGATTACCGGCGCGTCCATTGGTTTACATATACTTTGACGGAACCAATGAGTTGGTCAACTGTCGACAGATATTTGCTAACCTATCGCAAAATATATGGTATTTGGCAATCAGTGGCCGATTCTTAGCCGATGTATCGCTGGACGCGTTGACCAACAAATGCTGTCATTTGCAAGAACTCACGTTATATCAGTCGGGAAGCGAACCGAATCAAAACTGGGACCAATTGTTTCCCATAATATGCCAGAATTTCGACCTCAAGCGACTTCGGATTCAATTGTATCAGCTCTCCACTGATGTCTTCGTCAACAATATCTCAAAACTGAAGAATTTGGATCAATTGACGGTCTTCTCCCGCATTGAGTTTAACGCCAATGAAATTCAACCAATGAGTGAATTGAAGTTTTTGATTCTCACATCCATTAAGTTATTGCCAAATATGTTGACAAATATGGCGAAGATATTTCCCAAACTAAGACATCTATCCATATCTGACATTGAATTCATGTGTGCTTGCGTTCAGAGCAAACCAATGAATGAATGCACTGATTGTATTCATCGGTGTTTGAAATCGATATCACATTTGCCGCAACTCAAGAAGCTATACGGGAAAAGGTTGCCAATCAATGCACCAGATCTTTGTCTCTTCACTAAACTCAATGTACTGTCACTGAAATACTATTACAATATCGGAGAACTGCTGCTCTTTTGCCAGAAATGGGTTTCGGAAAAGGTTTGTAACAATTATTTTCGTCTTATGTTAGACGAGAAAACCAGAGAAACACTTTTGAGATTAATTGAAATGAATGTTACGATTCCTAAGCATTTTGTAATTAAAGCGATTTAAATATATATTTCAACACTAATTATAATTCACTAATCAAAGAGAAAAACGATTGCCTTTTACTGTATTATAACTATATAACTAACAAACAATTTCTTATATAAAAATGTGTGTTATTTTAAGTCAAATATTCGTTAATAATTATAACCTTTTTTGTAATATTTATTTTTAAATTCCTCTAATATTGTATGATTTAAAATCATTTGTTTTGAAATTACTACTAATCATCAGTTATTTAATATGCAATAAATAAAACCCAAAAACAGTAATCATTTTGTTTAAAATTTATTATAAAATTCAGAACTTTATTTCGTAAATATATTTATAATATTAATATTTTTATATCAAAAGAAAATATGAACAAAATTACAGATGAATTACAATATATTTTTATATATAATTAATATGAATAGTGAGTTGAGTGCACTTCAAATCAATTTATAAATAGTTTATCTATAAATCAATGGATTCTCAGCGAACGATCAAAATTATAGTTATTATTATAAAGTTATGTTTTTACATACATGTTATGAATTTATGGTATAATTTAAATTAAAATAAACTTATATTAAAATCAGTATTTACTTATGTATATAATGTATATTTATATTCACAAATAGAGATTTGATGCGTTCATACCCTGATCTGATTGTTATATAATATTTAAAAATCCATATCTTATCTCATAATTATTAACAGATAAATTGATGTCTCAGTAAAATTATGTGTAAGAAATGCATAGAAATTTCAATGCTTTTGACACAAATATTTATGCCATCAGTCGATACACTAACACAACAAGAATGAGATTTCCTTTTCATTATTGTATAATAAAAATTTATATCATATATCATAAAATTTCTGTACAAATTGTCTATAATTTACAAACAATCCATAAAATTGTTTATTATTTTACAATTAATTAATCCAAAGACTATTGTGTTTCATATCAAAAACAAAGTGTTGACAATAACTTAACGGCTGATTAGACTAACATTGTTTCCTGACTGCCCATCGAGAAGGCGATGGTCTCTAGTTTGAGGTGCAGGTGCTGTCTCTGACTTTGGACGTCGCAACACAAGCCTTCAAACAACGGTTCCCTATATCGGGACACATAGATGTACAGCTCTCGGAGCGCGTTATATGTGTCCACTTCTCCCGTATACGACTAGTTGTGGGAAAAATTAAAAATTTTATAATAATTGACAAAAAATACAAGAATAATAACATCAATGAATCGATTCCTACCAGTGATATATCATTCATATTTGCGACGATATCTGACTCGTGAATGGGTGGCAAAGAGGCGATCTCTGAATAGTATTTGGAGACCATTTTGCGATAGACAGGGATATCGCGGGCGAACAGCAATTTATTAGACGGCGAGTCCTTTCCCAACCGGTGCTCAGATGTGGAACACGAGTCCATAAATGTCTGTGCGATCACTGATAGACACGAGTCTACCGACGATGACTTTTCGATGTCGAACAGAAAGTCCGGATTCTTGACTAAATTGACCCAAAATCGCAGCGGAAGACTAAATGAAGTGACAAAGAGTTAGTAAATAAAATGTGTGCGAATTTATAAATGCAAACTTGAAATACCTGTTGCTTTTCCAGGCGTGGATCACTTCGGGATCAGTGATACCGTATTCGGCCGCAGCCGAGTCTAATAAGTCGAAAAGCCATTTGACAGCGAGTGGCAGCTTATCGTTGACCGTCAGTATTGTCGACAGGAAGTCGTCCACATATTTCTGAATCGTTCCCTAAAATTGATACCAAAGTAAGCAAAATCGGCGTTAGATATCATCACAACAATTATCGCCACAACACTAATGGTGTATACCTTTGTGGAGAGAAGTCGTGTCAAATAGATCTCTGGTATGGCTTTATGTAATTGGTCTTTGGATGAGGCGTTTTGGTTGTCGTCGAAAGGCTTGACGAGATGCCACGTCCGGACCCTATCATCACAGACTCGCGTACTATTACTGTTAATAGTACTGTAATAATTGGAATAATTAGTGGCCGAGTAGTGGTTGGCGCCGGTGTTGTAGTGATTGTTTGAATAAGTGTTGTAAATGTTTCGCGACGGCGAATGGGATGGACTGTGCGATGGAATCGTTTCGTACAAGTGATTACTGGATCGGCGCTCCTTCACAATCAGACCCATAACCGCCACGTCTTTGATGCCGTAATGCGTGAGCGTATTGAGCCGTTTCCAGCCGTTGATCACTTTAGTGGTGAGATCTTCATCGGACAGTATTAGGTGTCCTCCGCGGCCCTGACGCCACTCGAGGTCCACCTCATTGACAGCCGGACGTTGAGAAAAGGTGACATTCTTGTAGATGGTGTCTATGATTTTGCTCTTCACTTGACTGATTGTATCGCAGTTCAGGACTCGACACTGGACTTTGTCGGCCAGACCTTCCTGTACCACATGTATGACAACGCACTGGTAGTCGACCACTTCCCGCAGGAGCCGCTCTTCGGACAACGAGTACCGCGAGTCGTGAGTGACGTAATCGATGGGTCCCTTCTCTATCTGGTGTTTGATGGCATTGAACAGCAAGAATAGGGAACTGCCGGCCACTTCGTTGATGTACTTATACATGCAAAGCGACATCCAATTGGTCAACAGCTTCTCCACCACTGACTCCGTCCGCCGCAGCAGCAGTTGCGGGTGCTTTGAGGCCACGTACTTCTGGATCAGCTTAATTAATAGCTCTCGAAGTATGCTATATATAGAGTGAACACAAAGAGATAAACGGTATAATTAATAACGAGAATCGAGTGAAGCAGAAGTGAAATTCATGGCTCGTATATGACTTACTCGAAGGCGTAATCCATTTTCTCCATCAAAATGATCATCAAAAGTGACGCCACATTAACTCTGAAGAAGAATAAAGAAGAAGAAAGTGTTTAAGAAAATGGGATTACAGTTGTGTCCGATAGTGAGAGACAAACGATGAAAATCAATGCTTACTTATCACGAATGGTAAATGATTTTTGGTGTTCAAGTGTTTCGATGAACACCAATAGGAAATTGCGGTTATATATGAGTTGCTCGAAGTGTGCCATCGATTCCTCGCTATTGAATGGATGACCGTTTGAGTGCTGTTTACGGACCAAACGTTCAGTGAATGCGAGACACAAAACAAAAACGGATAGAGAATTAGATAACAATAATAAATACAATTAACGCTAAATACACAGTGTTTTCAGTATTCAGTCGAGCGATGAGAATAAGTGAAGGATAAGGAGAAGGAGATTGGGTTAAGAGATGGGAAGACAGACATTAAAGTGATAGGAAATGTGGGCTTACCTTATAGTCAAGCGAAATAGGACTCCCGTTATCGGGTAATCCCGGAAAGAAGACTTTGATAATATAGGCCCTGTGGTCGAGAGTGGGAATGCCGGTGGTCTGCAAGTCGTTGTTCAGGTCAGTCATATCCGTTTGCAATTCGGCAAAAGCCTGTTTACACTCGGATCGGACACTGTTCTCGAGAGTATCCATCTGTAATTGGATCCGTTTGTACTCGCGCTCCGCCTGAGAGCTCTTGTGCTTGAATATGGCCAACACTATGAGCGACAACACCATGAGTACGGCGCCGGCGGCCACGAAACTGCCGATCACTAGCGGTGGCAACTCGTACGCGGCCGACACCTCGTACCGCAGGTAACCGATATCGTAGCGCAGGTTTCCCATACGGACCACAACCGATGGCAAGTCATTATCGGTCGGTCGGCCGAACTCGTCGGTGCCCACCGGCTGCACATCGGGCGGGAAACACACCAATTGAGTCATACTGAGTGATGTGATATTGCAGGTCCGGGTGCCGATCGTTACGTTCACCTCGTGTTCGCTGGACGCCAGTCGCAGATTCTCGCCTTCGATGACAAGACTCTCGCCTTTGTATAGTTTAACGTTATTGTCGTCGAAGGGGAACAGTTTCGGGTCCGACACGTAGACCAGATTGGAGGCCATTGAAGGGTAAAACTCGTCCAAATCCCTAACAGACTGGACGTCGTCCATAACGAAACCAATCTTTAGCCTAAGGCCAGCGCCGGTAGCGCTCACGTCGCGGGCGACCTGTGCTCGCGGCGGACTCTCCACCCCGTCCTCCACCACACGCGGCGACGGACACGACATTGTCGTCGAGTTTATTACTTGACACGACTAAAGGGACAAAAGTTGAGTTATAAATACCAAAATGCTTAATAAATTTTATGGCATCAAAACAAATGTCTTACGGTTTCGTTGACCAGCGACTGCTCGTCAAAGACGGCGATTCGCGGCAATTGAATTGACGTGAAGTTACTTCCGGACACAATCAACGGTCGACCGCCGCTGAAGAAACTCTCCAACGGATATATTCGCCCAATTGTCGGGTCTTTCGTGTATCGAAACGGGTTGTAAAGCGTGTGATTGGATCCGTCGATGCAGAGCACCAGTCGGCGCACAGTCAACGACGGGTGCGGCGCCGGCGTTGTCCGGCAGCTGAGCTGTTTGCTACTCGCCAACGATCTGTCCGTTCAATTAAACCAATGGTAGAGATTGTTGGTGAATGTTGTGATATGAATATTGAATGAATTTAACGTATAAATGATTGATTGTCTCGTTTATTAATTATGTATATGTAATGACAAAATGGATTGATTTGTGGAGACACTGATTGTCAATTCACATGTTGTGTGGCATTTGAATGGCAATGATTGAGCTGTACATACCGTTCCACACGACAGGGCAGTTCATCCAAATAGATCTCGGTGTTGGAGCCGATGTTCAGATTGGTTCCCGAGAGATACAGTCGTGTGCCTCCGGATTGTGGACCGACTTTCGGGTTAACGTCTTCCAAATGAATCGTCTATTCGTGCGATAATTAGATGAAATATAAAAGTGTGTGAGATTTGGATTTATATGCGAGAGAGAGAGAGAGAGAGAGAGAGAGAAATAGTGTAGTGAATGATAGAAATAGTTTGCTATTAAACAACCGAACCGTTCAGTTTGACGGCTTCGTTGCAGAAATTGAGAATATTTCCAGCTTTCTATAAATCAGGAGAGAGAGAGAGAGAGAGAGAGAGAGATTGAAGGCACACCCAATATAGTGGTTATGATATGATTATAAGTAATAATTTATAAGAATTAGTAATCATTATTCATATCCGACACAAACAATGTATTTCGCTAATGAGTTGCTAAATACTGAGGCATTAATTGCACAGACAATGAACGCCTGTTAACATCATTTTGTTATCCTTTCTCTTAAGTAATTTAAATGCATTTTTGGTTATTCCTGTCGTAACAGCTGCTGGAAAAGAGCGTTAAGAATAATATCTCATCCGATGTTCCCATTAAAGAGCGCACAGAATATTCTGTGCTTTATATTTGATTTGACTTATTATACAATTTGTGTATAAAATTGTGTTTTTGGGAGAAAATACATTTAGTAAAATGTGTTCATTGATTAACGAATGAACACAAATCAGATTAAATTAAATCTCATTAAATTTATGGGAATTATAATCGTTATAACAGATAAATGAGAATTGAATTCCTGGAAACCCTTATTTTTTATTGAGGTTTAAAATTATAGACAAATAAAAATAAAAATTTCTAGAGAAATCGGGAATGAAATCATGTTTTGGAGTAAAAGATTAAAAACAACAATAAAAATAACTATAACTCAACTTTAACTTAAAGGTTGTTATCGAGGAATTATATAAAGTAAAAGATGGGATAAACTATTGCTTCACTTCAGCAATAAATATAAGTGAGTGGAGAGAGAGAGAGAGAGAAATAGTGTAGTGAATGATAG